TGCGCGGTTGTTGAGGTCTGTAATGGGGGGGAGGGGGGGGGGGGGGGGGTTGGTAGGGGGGGTATGTTTGTAATGTGGGTATGTCTGTAATATTCTCTTTCCCTTCACTATGTGTCTGTAATGGGGAGGGGGAAGCCGCAAAACCTTGAAATGAAAACTTACACTCCCTATTTTCTTCGAAAATATACGTGAATTCTACAAAATGGTGTGAGATAGAACTCTTGTAAATCTCTGGAGCCATTTTTTATTTTACATATTTCTTTAAATTATCTAAAACTTTTTAATAGTTTATTAGTTAACAAAAAAGACCTTAAAAAGTTCAGTATGGCTCATTTTTTTTAGGGAGTAGCACTCGTGGCTTCAATTAAAACCTACCAATTTTGTAAGAGTTGAAAAATGATCATCTGTTTCGATTTCAGAAGAATAAGCGGAACGACCGTGATTAACCATCGATTTTCGAGCGGTGTAGAACTGTGCTTTAATCATATCTCGATCCGTTTTTACTACTGTCACACGGCGTCATCTATTTCAACTATGACTTGGTTGAGTTAAATATATAATCCAATGAATTTGCTTTCCTGTTATGTGAACGGTTTTTTAGTATGGTGTAGTTTCTCTTTGTATAGAATCATCAACTTTTTTTTGTGCTTGTCATATGGGAAGGAGAATAAATAGATAAGAGAGTAGTGAGACGACAAGGTTGATGGATAAAGATTCAGGTCTCCCGCACATACACACATACCTTCATTTACTTTGCCTCATCATCTGCGATACAATGAGTAACAACACCTTTTCTTTTTCGCTCGTTATACTACTAGTGCGGTGTTCTGTTGATTATGTCATCTTCGATTCTTCTCTTTCATTGTTTTTATATATAAGCTTCAAAATGTAAAGTTCTGTTGACTTTTTTCGAACAATCTTACAAAATCTTGAATCTAATTTCGCTATGAAAATATGACTCAAATCCGTTTCCATTCTGTTTGGAATTTTTGATAGCTAATAAGAAAAAAGAACTATGAATGATACCAAACAGATGCCGTATGTGTAAGTCTACGAAAGATGCGCATGGATTAAGATCTCAAGTTTTCGAAACAAAAAAAAGCACTGTCAACTAGACCAGCACTCATACTCTCATATGCATCCTCATTCTCGTATTATACCATAACCTAGTAGTCAGAAAAGTCCCGTGGGCATCATTCGCGACCCCGTATGTGTAAGAATCGTTTTTTCTCTATATTTACTAATTTTCGATTCAAAACTATCATCTTTTATAGATACTGCAAGAAACATAGTAAGTATTACGTTCATTACTCTGATCCATCTAAGAAGGTAGAAAATAAAAAAAGCATTCAAATTATATATTTGGACGTATTCATAAAAAAAAGTGAAACTAATTTGATGGATTAGATATTTTAATCAGAGAAATAGATGTTCTATACAAATGATCTGCTCTGTATCTCATAAATAACTGTGTTAAGAATGCAACGGTGACGATCAAAATTCGCTCTACCGTCACCGTTTCATCGCTCTGGAACGCTGAACGATCAGACCAATCAACTGGACCTGCAGTCCTCAAGAATGAATTTTTCCCATAATTGCAGTTTCGTTGCCCACGGGTAGAGGTAGGAAGTTACCAGTTACGGAAGAACTGGTAACTGGTAACTGTTCCCTTACCAGTTACTCGGGAACAGTAACAGCCCGTTACCAGTTACTAGGGAAAGGGATAACGGCCCAACTTTTCCGGGGTACTCTTATGTCCTCAAGTCCAACTATTGGGGGATACCTTTAGGTCCTCAAGTCCAATTAATGAGGGATACCCTTGGATCCACAAGTTCTATTATTGAGGAACACTCTCGAGTCCTCCAGTGCTACTATTGGGGGATACCTTTAGCTCCTGAAGTACTGCTATAGGGGAATGCCCTTAGACTCTCAAGTCCTACTATTGATGGATAACTGTGCGCCCTCACGTCCAACTATTGAGAGATACCTTGGAGTCTACCAGCCCTATTAATGGAAGATATGTATGGATCCTCAAGTCCTACTGTTGAAAGCATACAGATCAAACCTCCTTGGTCATTCATGGCCGTGTACCAACCAATTACGGCGAACAAAGCCGCGAGAAGTTACTGATAACGACTGCCGTAACAATACCGCCACGATAAAAGTGCACAAGGTGGCAAAGCCGTAAAGCTACATATGCAGCAGCTGTCTTCGGTACCGTATCCAGCAGTCGTAAACTATCGCCTCCTAATCTTTCGACCACCGCAAACGATCCGCGCAAAAGCTCACCGTGCACTGCCGTCGATAAATGATTCTCAACGCTCACCCCACCATTTCCACTCACTAATCAGATTTCGAGAATATATTTCCCATCTATACAAAAGCTGCACACCAACACATATACTGCTCATTCGAAAGAGAGCTTTCGATAACCGTACGATCGGCATGAACATGACAATATGCTACCCGTGTAGTAAGAGAGATATACCCTCGTGAAATCTGATTGGCCCATTTTTCGACCAATGAGTAGGCCAGATTCTATTTATGATTGTGGCACCTGAACGAGACACTTACATATATTCCTCATTAGATACAGCACCTTCGGTAACCTTGGGATCGGACTGAACTTCGCTAGGAATTGTCCGAGCAATAAGAAAAAAAGACGTCTTTTAAAATTTGATCGGTTAGTTTTAGAACTAATCCGATTTGCGGACCACTTTCGTTTTGGATTTGTTCGGAGAGCTTCTGTGCGTTTTCAAGGGTGCCTAGGATTAGCGTGGATCCTCTTGCGAACATAGGGTATACATATGGTGATCTACGCTTTATACATCTCAGATATAGAATGTGCCAATACCTTTGATTCATATTTTGCTCAACTAGCATTTGATGAACCCTAATCTGTCATAATGACTGAACAATTTCTAGTATTGTAGATACTGAGGCAAGGTTACTAGCCAATAGTGGCGCTTGAGAATCCGGTGGTACCTATGCATAGTGGGCCTGAGAACCCGGTGGTAGCTACGAATAGTAGTGGTTGAGAACCCAGTGGTATCTCCCAATAGTAGGACTTGAGGACCCAAGGGTATCTCCCAACAGTGGTGCTTGAGGACCCAAGGGTATCCCCCAATAGTAGGATTTGGGAGCAAGTCCCTTGGTTGATAATGGTGGACACTTGTCTGGCCGTCACATCGTTCCTGGGTAACTGTCCCGTTACCGTTACCCGGGAACATAACGGTAACTTCCCACCCCTACTCTCCGAATTCTGCAGCAGAGATTCTCGTATAGGTTTCGAGATGGGAACATGGATGATCAGCCCAACCGGGGCCCGTTTCACCGTTCACCTGTAATTACGGTAGAACGGTGAACGATTAATCGTCACCGTTGCATCCCTAAACTGTGTTAGAACTAGTTTCTTGAACTTAATCGTTTTTTGAAGAGATGTTCGATTAACTGCTGTATAAAAATATACAAAGACGTTTGATCCCATTGTTAACTATAAAGAATTGAACAAATAATATTGAGAGACTCTAACATACTAAATAGCGTAACAGAAAAATAGTTTTTGGTTTTTATTCTTCAGAAATTTACCATTTCTTAACTCTTAAAATATTCTCTCTTTTCACTAGAACTAAAACTTTTCGACTTGGAAGGTGTCTTGCAGGATAAAAATTCTCTTTTTCTCAAATTTTTCTAAAAGTCACATTTTTGAATCAGCAATTTCAGATTATTCAGAAATATTCACATAGATCGATAAAAAGTTGATCTGTTAAGTTTATGTTTATTTTATCTGAAAGAAAAACCATTGATGCATTACACCCAATTTTTGGAATTTGAATACGTTCTTTTTTCGAATGAAATGAACACGATAAAATATATCTCGACCTTTACATTCTTCTTTCAAAGAAATACTTGTCGAGTCATAATACTTGCTTCAAATAGAGCTATTTTACATGATGAGGTAGAACACAATTAATTGTACAAAAAACACCTTCCTGAATGAGGCTTTTATTTGTACAGTCATAGAAAAAAATTTGAATTTTGAGAAAAACTTCAGAAAAATCGATATTCTGAAACTTTACAGTATTATTGATCCAAATTTTCGTAGTTGAATCTTAAATTAATACCCTTATCTATTCTTGCATAGAATTGAATGGTCATTATTTTTTCGAGATATAAATCTATGTTTTAGAAATGCACTGCAAACTGTTTAGCTTAAAATAATCTCTGAGCACATACTAAGAACAACTAAATCGTGTTGCACATTTAAATCCCGGAAGAATTGTATTCACAGTTTTTCCATTTTTTTCTATGTTAAAATCGTTAGTTTTCGCATTTATTGAGTTCTTGAATGTGATATTACTGTTCGGTAAGAGCAGCTACTGTATTCTAAGTTAAGATTTAGAACATCGAAGCTAAAATGGTAGCACTAAGAAAGAAAAATTGTGTAGGTGTGGGTATGGGTATGAGTGTGAAACGAGAAGAGATCTCGACCGACATCCCCGCACTTACGCCCACATCTACACCCTCTAGCTGACTGTTTCATGACAAGAATAGTAAATGATTTTGAGAGATCTCTATTTCTGTAAGAGCGATGCGTTTGTTTTTTTTCTATTATTAAGTTTAATATTATGTTTTAGATAATATTGAGCAGAGTTTTCTGTTGATAGCGAGAAGTATGAGTTTATCGAGACAAGAAGAATTCAACAATGGTGACAAACAAGTGCCATTACTCGATAATGATAATGTCAATGACAGCAGTACTAACCAAATTCAATCATCGTCAGTACCATACTGTATCGCCACTCGATATGTTTGTCTCTCTTTTATTCTCCATTGTTGTAAAATTTAACTATCGTCTAGGTCGTAGCTATTTGGGCTTTTTTCGGCTTCTTTTGTTTATATTCGCTTCGAGTTAATTTGTCCATTGCCATCGGTATTTGTCAATGATCTGCTACTTGATGCTGATTTTTCTCACTCTTTTTCTATTTTATTTAGTGGCTATGACAATACCGCAAAGTGTTAAAAAAGAATCGATTCAAGCATGTCCATCCTTTGATAATAATAACAAAGGTTCATCACAACAGGCATCTATCGAAGTAAGACGAATATAAACCAATTTTATACTTAATATCCGATTCAACAAGGGCAAATTAGATTGGTCACCAAAAATACAAGGTTTTGTCTTGAGCTCATTCTTCTATGGTTATCTGCTCACACAAATCATAGGAGGCAAGTCGTTGGCTTCTTTTTCTGTGTATTACATTGTGTTTTCTCTTAAATGAAAAGGTAATCTTTCCGAACGATTTGGTGCCAAATGGATATTTGGTGGCAGTATTCTCGGTGCTGGCATTCTAACATTACTAATACCACTTGCTGCTCGAATTCATGCTGGCTTACTTATTGCTGTTCGAATATTGATTGGTGCTTTTGAGGTACGTCGCAATACAAGCTATACATTGTTTAATAAAATGTCTTTTATTTTTTCTAGGCTCCAGCTCTTCCAAGTGCCAGTGCGCTGTGGGGTCGATGGATCCCACCATTCGAACGAAGTGTTGTCCCGCCTCTCGCTTCTATAGGTTAATTGAGTTCAATGTGAGACTTTTAGAATATTTTTTCCCTGATATACGTTTTTTTATGCGTCTTCTGGTTACTTGTGTCCAGGCAAAGAATTCGGTATTGTGATTATAACTCCATTGGTCAGTCTACTCTGTGCATCAACATTTTTAGATGGCTGGCCATCAGCTTTTTATGTCACTGGTAGTACTTAGTTTTCTCTTATCTCTATTGTTTTCTATTGGAGCAAAAATTTAAAAGGTCTATTTACGTGTGTTTGGTTTGTTGGATGGTGTTTTTTTGCATACAATTCGCCTTCAGAACATCCTCGTATAGGATCCGAGGAAAAAGCATTTCTTCTTGAATGTGTACCAAAACCAAAAAAGGTATTAAGAAAAAATGAAGAAGAGCAATAACAGAAAAGTTCATTTTGATCTTGTATTAGATTCGTACACCATGGTTTCATATTGCTACTTGCGTACCACTTTATGGAATTGCAATCAATCATATTTGTCTCAATTTCGTCTATTATATATTGCTTACTTCATTGCCTACATATTTCTCGACAATTCTACAATTCAATTTACGTCGAGTTAGTTTATCTATCTGTTTTACGATGGAGCTGCCGTATCGAAATTATTATTGATATTGGTTTCAAAATAGAACGAATACTGCTGTTTTTCGAATAATATTAGAGAGAAACAAGAGAAAGTCCCTATTATTTTAGTATCTAGACAAAGACTTGGCATACTGATTCTGGATTGCTTGAAAAAATAAAACAAAAGATTGGTAGTCGACTTAGCACGGCGGAAAAACTTCTTTCGACTTATTTTGGAGTGATCATAGGTCGTTTAGCCAATATGAGAACTTTTGACAGCATTCTCATAGCTGCGAAATGGAACAAGCTATTGAATCCTGTCTTACAATTTTCAAAGGTATCATTTTCAACAATTGCCCAATATTGAACACCACTCGGATCATGAATTCTAACCTTGATAGACCTCTTTTAAATGGTAAAGATTGGAGCTCTCTTTTATTTCTATCAAAATTTATTCGAAAATTGATAGCATCTGTCGTATTCTGAAAACAATAGAAGTTTTCATTACGATACGGCATCTTCATCATTGTTGACAATCTATTTTAGAATGGATTAGTGTCTGCTATCCCTTATATCTTTCATCTTTTGTTTACTACTGTATCGGGTCAAATAGCAGATCGATTACGAAGAAAAAGAATCCTATCGACAACTATCACAAGAAAATTGCAAACTATTATTGGTATGTGTGCATATATGACTATTCACGTCAAATTTCTAGGTTTTTATCTAGGTGCTTGTGGAACATCCGTATTTCTTGTCTTAGTTGGTTATATCGGATGTAATCATACGTGGGCCACTGTTTTCATTACTCTTGCCGTTGGATTTATGGGTTTTCAAACTTCTGGTAGTCTCATTTCACATTTGGATGTTGCAAATAATTATGCAGGTTTAATCAAAGATTTTTATGTCTTTTTTTAGAAGACTGATCTCGTCTTCTAGGTACACTCGTTGGAATTACCAATACGTTAGCTGCGATTCCAGGCTTTGTAGGACCAACGTTTGTCGGTTGGATAACAAATAATAATGTCAGTTTAAAATTTTTTCTATTCGTTTTTATTCTCTGTTTATTCAGCAAACAGTTGAAGCATGGCGTGTCATCTTCAATGTTTCAGCTGGCATAGGTCTTGCCGGATCTCTTGTCTACTGTCTTCTCTTCAATGGCGAAGAACAACCGTGGAATCGATCCAGCGAGACACAAACTACTAAACATGCGCATAAATGTACCAAAATGCAAACATCAAATGCTTAAACGCATGTCCAAGAAGCTGACCATGAATTTACCTGAAAACTCAACTCAAAGCGTTTATATGCACAATTTTTTTATTTCCATATTTCTATTCCCGTACATGTGTAGAATTGGCACTCCTATGAACGTTTTTCCGAACGTATATAAATAACAAATACATCAAATTTTTTTGATTTTAGAAGTAGAAACTTTTTATGCCGTTATTTAGAAAAATATTATTGATCATGTTCATGTTTTTCAAAACAGTCTTTGCATCTCTTTTTTTAACTATCGTATGTACTAGGATAAATCGACCTCTCAGTTTTCTAGCGATATCTTCTTCAATTACCATCCCATTGAACTGATGTTTACTTTAGAAAAATTCCTCATTTCAAGTTCTACAAATTCACTCCTTTTAATTTTTAAGTTCATAGCACATTAAAGTGTTCAGATAATGTGAAAAGTGAAGACCAACAAAAAGTTGTACTTTCAAAGTACCAGAAAGGTAATGCTCCAACGAAAATTTATCGTGACTTAAATGATGGTGTTGGTTTAACAACCATCAAAAGATGGTGCCATATGTTTCGATGATGTGGCTCTATTCAACTATCAAGTCCACCTGGTAGTCCACGTATAATCAGGACTAAAGAAAATATCGAAAAAGTGAAAAAAGCCGTTTACACCAGAAAACCAGAGTATCAGCTCGAAGCCTATCAATGAACTTTTTTATCTCTGCAACAAGTGTCAGGCGCATATTAAAAAACGATTTAGGAATAAAGCCTTAAAAAATCGCCATCGAACCATCGTTTTCCAATGATCAAACGGAAACAGTTTGAAAACTGGATTCGAACAAATTTTCGAAAAGAAGACATCTTGAAAATTCTTTTTCGAACAAGAAGCTTTTTGGCACAGCAAATACGAGATTTCCCACAGAAAGTAATAATGTGGTTGAGCGCCTGTTCCAAGGATATCATACCTTTGGCGATCTTGGATGAAGGAATTTTTGATCACAGTTTTTATGTCGAAAATGTACTTCTGGTAGCCTTAAAATATGGAAATAAAGTTTTCGACAACGACTGCATCTTTCAGTAGGACAGCGCAAAGTCCCACCAACATTATTTAATGCAACAATGGTATCAAAACAATTTACCATCATTTATTGACAAGGATCATTGACCTCCAAATAGTTCTATTTTAAATCCTTTGGACTATTCAATATTCAATAGGGGATGAACTTATCAATGCCACCAATGGGAACGGGCTCAAGCCAAAAGCGACACTAATTCAACAGTTAAAATACTCAACTACAAAAATCCACAAATCAGTTATTGTTGAAAGTTCTACTAGTTAGACTCATCGTTTGTACCATGCTTCTCAGAATGAAGGAAATCGTTTATGTTAATAAAAGAATAGTTTTTGTAGCTTTCGTGATGCGGAATTCTTTTAAAACAAAGATGAATGGCAACCAGATGAAAATTGAAGAAGATATCGCTAAGATACTGAGAGGTCTATTTATCCTTGCGCACCCGATATATGTCGAAAGAATCTTTTCTTAATTTACCCCGATTTTCTTGCGTCTTTTAGGATTATTACGATATATTAGTGGAATTTATTAACACACACGTGATAGATAAATTCAGATTTATCATTCTGTTAGTTCAATTAGGTCTCATTGGATTTAGGTGTGCACGTAAGTGAGCTGAGCTGTGGATTTTGCCCCACACTCACACTCACACCAAACTTTTCAGCTAGTTTTTCAGTGATGCGAAGTGTTGTTGCGTAGGGGATTGCGAAGTTGAATGCAAATATCTTGCTGGTTAGCTATTGAATCTCTAAAACTGTTAAAAGATATATGAAGGTCGGTAATAAGCCTTTAAAGTAGTTTAAATCTTTCACACAGTCATGTAAAAATAGCTTGGTGATGTAAAAACTGCGAAAAGATTCCAAAAAGCTTTAAATTCGATGAAATATAAGAAAGTTTATTTCCAAGATATTTCTTTTAAAAAGCTGCAAAAAAGGACAATGTCATTTAAATCAATTATTCTGCCTCGAGAGGCACAACCTGTCGACCAGAAAATTTATAATTGTATTCGTCCATTTCAAAAGGAATCGAGAATTCTACTTCGGCAGGATCGACAACTAACCATTGTCTTAAAAGATGCCGAGTTTGAGCAGGCGTATTTCCATAAGCAGTGCGTGCGTGCACGATTTGGTAGTTTTGAACAAATTGAATATCACCAACTTCAAGCGTCATGTGAAGCGCCTCGCAATCGCACAGTTCCTGAATGTACTTTATGGCTTTAAACTTCTCCTCCTCAACCACTACCTCCGGAAATCGGATGACGGTTTCAAAGAAGTTAGGACGCCAGAAAGTAAAGAGATGACCCTTGTAATAAGTCATAGGAGCGGTCGCCATATACGGTAGTTCGTTTGGACCATGTTCGTTCTTTCTATCCCAAAACCATGGAGTCTTCATTAATTCGATAATGTCAGGACGTAATTCGCGAAGACGGTTATAAAGAGTATCCGATGACATCACACAGCTGATTCCACCTTGAGATCCTTGTTGCAAGCAGATCAAAGCAACCACGTCAGTACCGTCCACATGGAATGGTTGTGCTTTCCGAGTCTTATATATACGCGTGGTAGGATCATTGACATCGTAAAGACTTGCTGTAGTCGACCCTTGTGTCAGATCTTTCACGTGACCTACGATGTGACCCTTTCCATTTTGAGGCAAGCGATGACCTACATTATAAAATGTCAGAATTCTGAGAAGTTTTTTTTTCTAAGACAACAATGCAACATACCGATATAGGATCCAATGCCCATGAAAATAGCAATTTGGTCCCGGCGAGAATAGTTTTGAATAGGGAATCCCCGTATAAGACCAAACCTAAGTCCATGAAACAAGTTTTGCTTTTGCTGTTCAAGCACCTTTTTAAAGGTGGTCAATGGGAATATTTCAGGCCGGATCTCGTTCTATCCGTGAATACTATGTAGAAATGAAGGTACAAATCTAAAATATTCATTACTTACCAAAGGCATATTAAGTGAATTGAAGTGTTCCAAAGCATGCTTAATATCTTCAATGTCTTCAGTTGTCAGATGGTAAATCCATTTCTCAGGGTGCTGCTCGAGTTCTTTGCCGTCCCATGCAGAAGGACCTAAAAGCAACACTGTTACTCTCTAACTGACTTGAGTTTATATACAATTTACATTCGATACGATCGGGATATATAGCCTCCTTTACAATATCCCTGTTAGTGAAAAAAGGATCTCGCGAGAAACCAGGCTCACGCTGAGGAGTTGTAAAACCATTCATTTGAAGAGCAACATCAGTAGGCATGTTTCAGGCGAAGATGACCTAACAATAAGATGTAATGTTTTATCGAAAGCATGGCCATGATAAGCAGTATTTTGTAGTCATGGATGTTCCGCTTGTGCTATATTTTCATAAAACGATTTTCTCTTATTCTTAAAGAATCTGAAAAAAGCCTACATGCTCACCGTAATCGCTTCGATCTTTTCAGGAAGAGGAGATCATGAGTGCGGGCGTGAATGGATGAAAGTATTGGTAGTTTTATTTCTCACACGCTCAAGCTCTCGTGCAGTTGCTAAACTTTCACAAACCTAGAGCACTTTTTAACCATCTTATAGAAAATTCTATTCTCCCTAACAACTTTTTCAGAATGCTACCGTCATTGCATACAGTTCAGAAAAAATTACTTCACACTTTGGCTGCCGAAAATTATTCAACCATCAATAGCTATTTTAAAACAGTTCTTTGAAAAATGTTCCTAGAATTTAAAACTTGACTGAACTCATTCAGCTGTTAAATACTAATAAATGAACAATCTTCAAGTTTATCAGGTGCATTCTTCTGCTCGGCATATTTCGGTACTGGTATCTAAAACTCGAAAATTAAGTCTTTCTCCTATGTATCAAGTTTAAAAACAGGCGAAGCTTACCCCTGAAAACGTCAATGGCTTTCGTGACTTCAGATGAAGCCAAGACGCTATTACACCAGCAAAGTAGACGTCAGAACTCAATTTTTCGCAATAACAAAGTTCACCGCGCATAAGTACACTGACGAGGGAACACCCCCAAGTGAAGCTCCGCTTTTGACGTGATATTTTGCCCAAAATTAGACCTTAGTAAGACTAGAAAAATCCTAGAAGGATTTAGGTTTCTGGCTCTTCCTTCTTGAGTTATAAATATGTTAGCGAAATTGTGTCCTTATGCTAAGTACTGTAGAAAAATCTCACTGTGAGGATTCTGGCGTGAAATTTTGTCGGTAGATAGGTCTTGTAGACGCTAGGTTTTCCTGAAAGTTTCAACAAAAACGGATGTGTCCTTCTCGAGATATTCAGTTGGCAAAAATCGGCATTTATCGTAGAAAAAACACAATAATTGAGTTTCTTATAAACTCAATATGTTGAGAAAGACACAGTCATTTTTGTTGAAACTTTCAAGAAAACCTAGCGTCTACAAGACTTATCTACCGACAAAATTTCACATCGGAATTCTCACAGTGAGATTTTTCTACAGTACTTAGCATAAGGACAAAATTTCGCTAAAATATTTATAACTCAAGAAGGAAGAGCCAGAAACCCAAATCCTTCTTGTGTTTTTTAGTCTCACAAAGGTCTATGTATGGGCAAAATATCACGTCAAAAGCGGAGCTTCACCTGGGGGTGTTCCCGCGTGAGAGTAATTTGTTGAAGAAACTCAAGATAAGTTCCATCGTAGAAAAATTTTGTTTGCTGTTTTGTCCTTCTACAATTTATTTTTGATTCCTTCGATACCACTTATAGTCAAATATACCTAGTCGCTTGGATCCACAACTTGTCGCATACTACTAATAGTCTATCAATTAACAGACTACAATGTGACACTCTTCGTATAGCCTTGTCTTGGCTCTACATTGAACTATACTTCTGAAAATTTTATCATAAATTTAGAGGTATACGATAACTTATTGCTTAAATTTTCAATAGAATTGGTCAACTTCAAATGAAGTTATCGGCGTCTGATTTGAAACTATAGAGTACTATTTGTCAAAAGTTACCATAATGTAAACTTTCGATTTTCATGAGTTCAATCCAATTTCATACCGGATCTTTTTTGTGAATAACTGCACTAGTGAGCTTAAGAATGATAGATCTCTCGAACACAAATGCCAAGAAATGACCAAGATATGACAGTGATACAATCGTTTTGGTAACCCGACATATGAATATAATCGTGCTTCCTACCTTTGTTTCCTGGCAAATTTGAATTAGCAATTTGCTGAAGCTAAATGCAGCAGTTCAGATATGCTGGTCTCTCTATTTATAACCTCTGTTGCAAAAGTCTTTGCACAAAATGTTCGTTCACTATTTGACCACTTGAAAACAACTAGTAAAGACCAAAAGTAGTTAGTTGGAATCAGAATTTTGTGCTCTATCAGAATATATACTTGGAATTTTTTTCTAACCTAAGGTTGATTCACTCTGAGCAAATACTTGAATTAGCCGAAAATTTAGTTTGTACAGAATCCTATTTCTGCCAATTTTGTATTTTGGTTAAAGCTTAGTTAATTGAACAAATGAAACGTCTGTTCATATGGCAGTTTGTAGAGAAAAATTTTCTGTGCAAAACCCATATCCACTCATCTTTTTATAAATCGTCAAATTGGCTCGAAATCGGCTACATTCGAACAGGTGGATTTCCAAAAATCGATTTTTTGACAAAAACTGTTTTACGTTGAAAGTAGCACCTAGGAAAACATCTGTAACTTTTGATAGTTTTTAGTTCTACTCTATTATAATACCCAGTTTTGTACAGAATTGAATGCTCTACAAAAACGCCTAATTAAAACCGCGCTTAAGTATAGTCTGGAAAAGTAGCGGATTGCAAAAAAAACGTATTTTGCTTTGTACGGATAATTATTTCGGTCCCTTCAAACATTTGCTTGCAGTGAACCATCCTTAAGTTAGAAAAAAATTCGAAGTATATATTCTGATAGAGCACAAAATTCTGATTCCAACTAACTACTTTTGGTCTTCACTAGTTGTTTTCAAGTGGTCAAAAAGTGAACGAATATTTTGTGCAAAGACTTTTGCAACAGAGGTTAGATAAAAACTGCTCCGTCATTTTTTCAGATAATGGCTGTTTTCATTTGGCAATATTGTTGTCAAATAAGTTCTCCCCACCTGTCCTACTTACAGAAACATTTGTCTGATAAGAAAATAGATAAGACAAACAACGAAAAAAACCGGCGAAAGTATATCTCTAAACTGGCTTTAATTGAAAATTCCTGAGAAAAGTAAACTTTTCACTATAATTCATTATTCTCTATTGAGCAGGATATTATCCTACACTCCCAGAAGCACTTTTCTAAAGACTGCAAAGTTTAGTTGACCGGTCTTCTCCTGGAGAAATTCTCTTGAGGACAGAGTCGCGTTGCCTATAAGATCACAAGTCGATTTCAAGCAGAGTAAGCAATGTTTCGGGGTCCATAGAAATCCGCGACAAAATTTGAAGTGATCTTTATTGAGTGAAATCGATTGGACCATACTGCCTTCAATAGTTCCTTCGACTGTAGGTATATTCATGTGGAAAAAAGTGAAAATAATTTGTCTGTCTGTGTGCCATTTTGCGACATGGTCAGAAAACATTCACGGTGAATTCTGAATAAAGGTTGACAAAAGTAACACGCTCGGAGAACTTGAATCTGAAGACAGCGTTTCAAAAACTTCAATAGTTATCTCTGTGGAAGGAATCATACTTTTCTCTGTGAATTATCGTCTGAGGAAACAGCTAATTCTTTTCAGAAAAAGTCACTTGAAAAAGAGAGAAACTCGAAATATGGAAAATTTTTCTGCATATATAGGATCTATGATACCTATTTAGTTTCGGTACCTTCTTCACAGTATCGTTGTAGGCATAGATCACAGTGTAACCTAATGAAATGTGTGTTTCAGTAAGTTGTAGTGTACTGGGTGTGCTGTGGCTGTGGCTGTGGGTGGGTGTGCGTGTGCATGTAGGTGTCGGTGTGGGGTATGGATGTGTGTGTGGCTGTAGGTGTGGGTGGATGTGACTGCGGGTGGGTGTGGGTGGGTTGGTGTGTTCACATCCTACCCCCACCCATACCCCCACCACACTCATACTCACCCCCACCCACACACCCACATCCACACCCACCCCACACACCCACACTCACACCCACACCACATCCACACACCCACACCCCACACCCCACACCCACACCCCACACCCCACACCCACGCCTACACCCACACCTACACCCACACCCACACCTACCCACACCCACACCCTGCCCACTTTGTGTGCCTATTGTTGGATGAGTTTCAACATTTGATATAAATGAAAGAAGTGGTTGACTTGCTAATATCCAGTGGAGTTTTTCTTCATAATCATTCTTTTCAAATGTTGTACTATCATCGTTGACACATTCAATAAAACCTTCTTTGAATAATTCTTGCAGCTGTCTTCCTCTAGCATTTGTTTTTCTTGATCCCATATGATGTAATGTTGCATTTAAATCTCCTACAATAATACAGTTGTTGTTGATGTCGTAAAGTTCGTGGATAATGTTGAGGTCAATTTTGGCTGTAGGTGGAACGTAAATGGAGGATACCAGTATTGATTTAAATGTTTTTGTTTCAATCTGTACTGCTATCACTTCATTTTTTTGTGTTGTTGAGTTAAGTACTTCTTGACATTTGATATGTTGTTTCACGGCTAATAACACTCCATCACCAGTTTTTCCTACTCGATCATTTCTGAAAATGTTATAACCCATTAGAGAGAACGAGCGTTCGCTCTTAAGATTAGTTTCGTTTACAGATATGATGTCGTATTTGGAGAATCTGGCTAGGAGTTCGTTCCTATGTTTTATAATGGAGTTTATGTTAATATGGCATATACTAATCATCGTTGTTGCTTGTTTTCAGGTCTTTGCTGTCAAATGTCGATGCATCTAAGGAGCTGTTGGGTGATCGAATTCTTTTGGTTGGTTTTGATCCTTCTTTAGCTTTTCGTGGTGGTTTTGTTGAAGTTACGTTTGAAGTTGTTGTTGGTATGCTTGATGTATCAGTTGCTGAGGTGGTTAATTTGGTTATTGCTATCGTTTGTTTTTGCTTGTTTCTAATGTATTTAACTACTTGACTTTCTTCTTCTGAATCAGAATCCGAGATAGTCAAGGCACCTTTAACGTTGTTGTCGTGTGTTTCGATGAAGGTTTCGATCTTTTTCATCTTCTTAAGTAGTGTCTAGAATAGTCGGCTGGTTGTTTCTTCGATAATCTTTTCCATTTTGCTGCTTAGTACATTGATAATTTCATCGAATAATTCATTATGAATATGTTCTTGTTGATGTTGTAAGAGGTTTGGTAGCGATGGAAATTCATTTAAGTCATGAATGGCTGGAACTGTTTTTGTTGGTGTATTCGGAGCTGAATATTGATTAATTAAATTGTTAATTCTTTTCTCCTGTTCTTTATAAGTTGCACATTCACTTGATGTTGCTACATGACTACATTTACAATTACAGCATTTTACTACATCACTAGCAGCAGTACATTGTTCAATGCGATGATTTTCACCACATCGAGCACATATCTGTTGCTTCGTTTTGCAGAATTTTGCCACATGATTGTATTTCAGACATATATAGCATTGTACAGGTTTGGTGTTTTGATTTGCTGCTTCAGCTACAAAATGCATTGAATCCACTTGTAAACCAGTACGAATGAAAGTATTTCGATTTTGTGGATCAGCGAATGTAATTTTGATTGTTCTGGTTGAAACGTTTTTAGTTTTGTTCACCAGTCGAACAACATCAATAGCATCAAGACCAACGTTCTTTAATGCTTCAGTTATTCGACCTTCAGGAATTTCTATGTCGACGTTTTTAACAAACGCGACTTTTCCCGTATCTTTGATACGTTGAATGGATCGGGGCACATATATTTTGGCTGTAGCCTGTCCATTTGTTGCAAGAATTGGTATCAGCTCATTTAACAGACGATTAAACGAACTAACATCGCTTGCATATAGTGTGAAATTACCTGTTCGACTTAGCTGAATATCAGATATTCGTAAGTCTTTTAAATTCTGCTTAATAGCATCATTTTATTGTAGTTTGTTTAACTTCACGCCCTCTAGAATTAGAGGGGCAATGCTAAACTTTGATTGGACCTTTAATCCTGCCTTTGTTCTAGCAGAAGCCTTTGTTCTTGGACTATGACTCATCGCCATTGTTCCTCCAACATCAGCTACTGCTGTTTGACCTTGTTGTGTGTTAATAGAATTAACACTACTGTGCCTTTGTTTGTTTGCACCTGTTCCTCCTTTTTTGGAGGCATAATTAAGTTATCACCTAATGCAAAAACACCTGGAGATAATTACCTTAATTAATATTTCCAAAAATAATTTGAAAATTACGCGAAATAATTAAGTAATGACGAAAATAAGATAGATGAGTTGAACAAAGACATGTACGAAACCGACGAAAATAAGATGCGACTTATCTCGACCGTGTAAAAGTGACGAATGCTCTTAAGGGTTAAATACTATCTTTAACGCTATAGTACTCATTTATTTTATATTCGGAATGGAACATGAGATCATTCTGTTCATATATTTTTCTTTTTATATATTCAAACAGGATCATTTAGACTTATATTGTTGACTTTAAATTCTTCGAATTATCAGAAATATCAACAAACGTAATAAAACAAACTAATAATAAATCTATTGCATAAGCAGATTATAATCGAATACGAATTTGAAAAACTATAATATGAAACCGATTAAAGAAAAATAAATAAAAACTACAAAATAGAATCTACCCTATATGAGAGAGATAAATAAATAAATATATTTTAATAATATTCTTTTCTATTGTAAGTTTTATAATACTACCGACGACAAAATGGTTGAGAATCGTATTTTTCATCTAAAAAATCAAAATTACGATCAAAAAATCCCTCTTGGATATTTTTAGATAGCGGAAGTCTAGCTGTACAAAATGCATATAAACGTTCAATATTGAGAAACACAAGGGGGAAAACACGTACTCCCGGACTCCCGTACTCCCGTACTCCCATTGTACTCCCGTACTCCCATTGTACTCCCGTACTCCTATTGTACTCCCTGGACTCCGGGAGTACATGGGAGTACAGGGAGTCCAACATAGGGGTGGGAGTTTAACTTTAACGTTAAAGCCAAAGTTAAAGTAACATACTTTAACACTTTAACACTGTAACGTGAAAGCAAGGGAGAAATCACGTACTCCCGTACTCCATGTACTCCGCTGTACTCCCGTAGTTCCATTGTTCTCTCTGGACTCCGGGAGTACACCGAAGTACAAGGAGTCTGTGAGATACAATTCTTATGTAGGAGACCGTATCATAGGTACCTTCGTCAACCACCTTAAATATTCCTATTTCTCAAGGAGAAAACCATGCACTCCAGTACTCTCTATACTCCGCTGTACTCCCGTACTTCCGTTGTACTCCCTGGACTCCGGGAGTAAAATGGGAGTACATGAGAGCCCAGCAAGGAGGAAAACACGTACTCCCGTGCTCCCATTGTACTTCCATACTTCCATTGTACTCTCTGGACTCTGGGAGTACACCGAAGTACAAGAAATCTGTGAGATACAATTCTTATGTAGGACACCGTATCACAGGTACCTTTGTCAACCACTTTAAATATTCCTATTCCTTCTTGAATGGGATACTCATGTCCTCATGACCTATGCTTTGGGGGCACCCATAAGCCCCCATGGCCTATCCTATGGGGTATCCATAAGCCCCCATGGCCTATCCTATGGGGTACCCATAAGTTCTTATGACCTATCTTTTGGGGGTACCACAAGTCTTCATGGCCTATCCTATGAAGGTACTCATAATTCACCAAGGGCTATTGATGTTTGGTATTGTTAAATTTTCAAGCACTGTCTTGCGGTAGTTCCAGTTACTCTTCAAGCATTATTTCGTGGAGAGATGTCGGATACCGCTAACTATTAAAGAGATATATAGCGTTAATCGTCATAGATTTTCAAGAGCGTCTAGGTAGGAACGCAAACTGTGATAAGAACGCCACTCACACGCAAGGGGAAAACAGCAGACTCCCAGATTTCCTACTCCTAGGGATCCCTTGAAACTCCCAGGGACCTCTTGGGACTTCCGCGGACTTCTGAGCTTCCCAGGATTTCATGAGATTTCTTCGAATTTCGAGGGACTGCCGGGAATTCCCGGGATTTCCTTGGAACTCTTTTGGATCTTCTCGCTACTTTGGCATATTCCGAAGTAGTAGCACCTACATGCATCATACTGGTCTGACTGTTCAGATCAAAGGTTAAAGGTCAAAGGTTAAACACTAATAAAAAGAAACTAATGTGTAAATAGCTGCGCTCCTGTATTTTATGGGACTCCTTGGAACTCTTTGAGATTTCTTGGGAGTCCTTGGAACTCCTAGGGACTTCCAGGGACTCGTGGAGTACGGAAGTCTGCTGTTTTCCCTTGCTTATAGTACTCCCATAAGATAGCTCATGAGGACTTATGGGTATTCCCATAAGAGAGCCCATGTGAACTTATGAATACCCCTATAAGATACATCGTACTTCCGGGATTTCAAGCATTCCCATTGTACTCTCAGGGATCCGGAATCTTGGAAATCCCCTTTCCCCCCTTGCGTTCAACTATAAGAAAGACGAAAAAGAGGAATGCGACGTCTCGTTCACTAGATACCACCCTAGTTGCTTTGTCTACTAAACAACCTATTATTCAAGGGGAAAACGGCTGACTTCGGATCCATCAAAAGTGCCAAACACGTATTAAAAGCATCGAAGTTGGCTCACGAGAATCGCAACAAGACTCAGAATAACAAAATTAAGTATGGAGTATGACTTAAAGTATCGGAGTATTTGTCAGAGTATTGGAGTACGCCCGAAGTATCTAAGTTTGGCGAAAATACCAAAGGGTGAACCCATTTTGAGGTGTTTACAGTTAATTACTTCGTTGCTTCTTTTCGATCATTATGATTCTCAAACATGAAACGAAGTGTGGTGGGAATTACAGCTATTGACTACTGACTTGAGACTCCCATACTGCGATACTTCAATAATACTTCGATACTCCGGCTCGTATTCCAGTACTCCGATGATACTCCGATGATACTCCGACGATACTCCAGTACTCCAAGCTGAAATCCAACACAAAGAGTAAAGTTGATAGTTTGAATTATACTGCTGAGACACATGATGGAAGATGGTAGATTCTCACTGAAATGTCCAATTGCGAACAACACAAAGCATGTCTTAGCTGCTGGAATACGATGCGAAGTACGATCCGAAGTACCGGAGTACCAGCTAAAGTATCGGAGTATCTGAGATCCCAGAGTACCGTTTCCCCTTGCTATTGTTCGAGGTCGTTTAAAAATTAAAACAAGGAAAAAACCAGTCTTGCAATACTTTCTCAAAAAATATTCGGAATAAACTATTACGTTCGTTGTACTCCCATGTACTCTCTGTACCCCGTGAGTACTCGTAGTACGGGGATACGTGTTTCCCCCCTTGATTCGAGGTCGTTTATAAATCAACAAAAGAAAAAAAAATCAATCGTGCAATGCTTTTTCGAGATATATTTGGGGTCGATTTGTGGTACATTATTACGTTCGCTGCGTTTTCTTGTACTCCCATGTGTTTCCTTGTACTCCTATGTACTCCCATGTATTTCCTTGTACTCCAATGTATTCCCTTGTATTCCCATGTATTCCCCTGTACTCCCTTGTACTCCCATGTACTCCCTTGTACTCCCATGTACTCCCATGTACTCCCTTGTATTTTCTTGTACTCTCTTGTACTCCCTTGTACTCCCTTGTACTCCCATGTACTCCGTTGTACTCCCATGTACTCCCTTGTACTCGGAGTACGGGAGTACGTGTTTTCCCCCTTGGAGAAACAACACGTGAATAAATTGCCTGAGTATTTTCCATACATGCTTGAACAGTATTTAACTATAGGGCATTCTTTATTATCGATTGCGTACTTTTATTTTTATCCTAATTCCAGCACTGTTCATGTATTAGATTATCAACATCTGATCCTTTTTTCCGATTTTATAATCCCGAGTAAACATTATCGTGTGTCTATCATTGAATTGGCTCAATCAAACTAGTGAATGACTGATTGGTTTGGTCGCCCGTCTGCTCTTGACTCAACCCAAATAAAAAAAACTCGATCAAACCATTCAAAAACATCGATCCGCTACTGCTGCTGAATCATTTTCACTCACACAATTTTATACGACTGAACGAACGATGCAACGCTATCGAGTTTCTCTTGGTTACCGTCCACGAAGATCTGTCGTCAAGGTGAAAACCAACAATAAGAATGAAGAAAGTCAATAGCGATTTGCTGAATTACATCATCGGGCCAACCTCAAAAAATACATTTTTGAAGATGAATATTATTATGTGGGATTGAGGGGCACAGCACCGGTTGTTTGGTGCAAACGAGGTGAACTAACACCCAAGAAAGAAATTTCGTCTTTACGGGCGCATATCAATTCAATTGGTTTTATTTGATGGAACGGTTACGTTTTTCGTCGATTCGATAATTGGTTAAAAAGTGACACGTATCGTGACACAGTGAATGAAGCTTTATCCGGAAAGATACGAGATTTCAAAGGATATTCATATGTTTCTGATGGAATTCGATGGCACCGAGGCATTGAATTCGGAGGATGGTGCGAAGAAAATAATATAAACTAAGAATCCAAAGTCACAACTTGAACTAGAGATGGCGGTCAACGAAGTTTGCAATAGTCTGTCGTTAGATACTGTTCAAGCATATTTTGAAAAGACTCAGACAATTTATTCACGTGTTGTTTCTCAATATTGAACGTTTATATGCATTTTGTACCGCTAGACTTCCGCTATCTAAAAATATCCAAGAGAGATTTTTTTTATCTTAATTTTGATTTTCTAGATGAAAAATACGATTCTCAACCATTTTGTCGTCGGTAGATAGGCTCTCATCTGCTCAGAAATCAGTTTATATATTAATATCTACTCACATGTTGTATAAATACTGAGCATGTCACCTTGAAATTGGCTATCTATATGTTGATGTTCATGAGATTATATATTAATATGAAAAAATTTAATTCTGTTAAATAGGCCTGCGTACTGTGGACTGATATTGAACGCTGCAATCCAGCATCAGAATGAAAAAAATAATTCAAGTCTCCTACGATACATTACTGTATTAAAATATATTTAGTCCTGTGAAGGCGTTTTAACGCGTAAAATCAATAGTGATACCGACAGAAAAACGCTTAAATTGCGAAAAAATTATACGTTTTAACAGGTTAAGATGGTGTAACTCGTTTTAACGCCATTATTACGGAACCTTAACGCATTAAAACGCGTTTTTTTTAAGATCCTGTCTGCCTGGGCAGTTAGATGTTGAATGCTTGATTACTTCTATTCTAATGACACTCTAGATAACACATATGATAGAGATCAACAAATATCATTTTATCCTTCATTTTGTCAGTTTAAACACTAAGTTAGCCTGTCTCACACATTAATTTTATTATTGAGTCAACTTCCAACAAACACTATTGTTTCTCTCAATCAACTGTGACACAGATTGTTCGGTTTTGTTCAATCCTAGAATTGAAATAATTCGTCTTTTTCTAAGTTCATCCTAATGTGACTTTACGAGATCAACAACGTCACTGCCATATTGAATAACATTTTAAATAAGATTCTTTCGTTGCATTAAATTTCGAAACTCGTAACATTTTGACGAGTCAACATTTCCAGTTGAAACCTTAGATGTGTATAATCTTTTGGAAGAATCTAGAAATCTTCAAATTGATCTAAACACTGCTATTGGTGACACGCTCTTCACCTTAGTAGAGCCTAGAATTAGAATGGCGCTATTTAATTTTGACGCAGATATGATTCTTCATCTATAAACATTGATCTCCGTTGAAATTTGGCCGTGGTCTTTCGTTCTGTTAAGAAAATTTTACTGATAGATGCTGTTTTGCGAACAAATGGATTAAGAAAGATTGATGTCGAGAGGAATCCATGTTTAAGTTGAGAAATCAAACTTTTTTCGGATACAACTTCTACAATTTCAACTACTTAAAATCAAATTTTATTCTCTGTTTTCTCATCTACGAAATATTTCCTCAAAA